TATGTATGTATATGTATATATACATACACACACACACACACACACACACACACACACACACACACAGACACACTAGAGGCCCGGTGCACGAAATTCGTGCATGGGTAGGGCCCCTAGGCTTGGCCAGTGATCAGGGCCTTCCTTCCCCAGCTGCTGGCCAGGGCCTTCCTTCATTCCGCGCCGCCCCCTGGTGGTCAGTGCACATCGGGGCAATCAAGCTCCCAGTTGAACTCCCGAGGGGACACTTTGCGTATTAGCCTTTTATATAGATAGATAGATGTGACAGAAATACAAATAGTTACAATTCCAATAAAATATATTAATATCTCCTAAGTATTATTTTATTTTCAACCTTAGAAATTAATGATCATTATTATTATGACTTTTAACACATTGTTTGCGGGTAGTTTTTATCACACGCTAACAGGTGGCGCGGGCCATTTTTGCTAATTTTTTGCGCAAATGGCAACGTTCAGTAAAATTATGATAACTTTAGTTTACATATTTATACGTTACCCGCATTCTACCGCTAGTCTATAAAAAACGTATTAATACATGTCCCGTGCTCTACTACACTGGTAGAACGTATAAATACGTAAAATGTATAAATACGTTTCCCACATACAATGTGTTAAAATAATGGTAGTTACTCAATGATTTTTACAAGCTTATCTATATATATCAAAGCCTAGCCCTAGCCAGTTTGGCTCAGTGAATAGAGTGTCGGCCTGCAGACTGAAGGGTCCCAGGTTCGATTCCGGTCAAGGGCATGTACCTTGGTTGCGGGCACATCCCCAGTAGGGGGTGTGCAGGAGGCAGCTGATCGATGTTTCTTTCTCATCAATGTTTCTAACTCTCTATCCCTCTCCCTTCCTCTCTGCAAAAAATCAGTAAAATATTTTTTTAAAAAAACCTAAGTGACTGTCCGACCAGTAGCTATGACGCACAATGACCACCAGGGGGCAGACGCTCCAACTGGTAGCTATGACACGCACTGAACACCAGGGAGCAGATACTCAATGCAGGAGTTGCCAAGCTGCGGTGACTTGGCAGCTGTGGTTCTTGGGTGATGCACCCGGAACCAGAGAGGAGGGGGCCCAGTTCCGGGGCACATCACCTGAGAACCATCCTTTCACAATCTGGGACCCCTCAGGGGATGTCAGAGAGCCAGTTTCTGCTTTATCCCCGTAGGCCAGGCCAAGGGATCCCACTGGTGTACGAATCCGTGCACCAGGCCTCTAGTATTACTATAAAATTAACAGAAAGGAATTGACTTAGTGAAACAGTATTAATAATTTCCTAAGAGGCAAGAAGAAAAGCCTAGTACAGTATTCTGAGCAGAGTGCTTATTAGTTAGCTGATTAAGCCAAAATTATTTCTTTTGTTTTGTGGTCTTAGTCTCCAAAATTCATAGTAGTTTTTTCTTGGAAAATGTGATATAGACAGCGTAGATGTGTAAGGAAATACAGGTTGACCATAAAAATCAGCAGTTGGGTTACTAACAAAGGAGCAGGATCCAACATTACCTTTATTTCTTTAACACAGTGGTTCTCAACCTTCCTAATGCCGCAACCCTTTAATACAGTTCCTCATGTTGTGGTGACCCCCGACCATAAAATTATTTTTGTTGCTACTTCATAACTGTAATTTTGCTACTGTTATGAATCGTAATGTAAATATCTGATGTGCAGGATGTATTTTCATTGTTACAAATTTAACATAATTAAAGCATAGTGATTAATCACAAAAACAATATGTAATTATATATGTGTTTTCTGATGGTCTTAGGTGACCCCTGTGAAAGGGTCGTGCGACCCCCTAAGGATTTGCGACCCACAGGTTGAGAACTGCTGCTGTAACAGCATCTACCAGTAGTATTTGATTAATATGTATTTAGTGAGTGAACATTTTCATGAATTAACTAAACTAAGGCTACCAGGTAGTTTATCTTAAACAGATTTTGCTTAAGCTTCTTTAAGCATTTATAAGAAGCATTTACTTATATACTATGTAAATTTAGTAGTCTTGTTTAATATACATCTAAAGTATTTGCATTGAACAAAAACAAAAACAAAAAACACCTGATAAGTAATGCTTTTTTGTGTGTTTTTTATTTTATGGCTTTTTAAAATATAAGTATAGTTGGCATACAATGTTGTATTAGTTTCAGATGTACAACATAGTGATTCAACATTTATATACCTTACAATATGATTAAGTCTAGTAATCATCTGTCACTTTGCAAGCTTATCACAATATTATTTACTATGTTCCCCTTGACAAGTACTTCTTAGGACATAGAAGAAGACATCTAAAAAGTAATGGGCTTGCTACAGAAAAATTTTATACTTTGGGAATTTTTTTTAAATGTAAAAGTGGGACAACATACAATTTATGTGTAATTGAATTCATGCTCTAACACAGTGACTAAATCATAATATACTTTTATTAATGCCCCAGTGTTAGTAATGATTCAGTAGAGCTTTTACTTTCTGGAATCAAATTGTTAAATATTTTTTAAATGAGAAATTTGGACCTATAAAAATAAATTTATTAATTTTTAAAACACTCAATACTCTATTTGTTACCCTTTTGAGACTATTTAGATTTTGCATTTACACATTTTAATACATATTTTTTAATTTATCCGGGTTATATTGATTAAATAAGTTTCATGTATACAGTTCCATATTACATCATCTATGTATTGTATTGTGTGTTCACCCTGCATAGTCTGTCTCCTTTCATTACCATTTATCCCCCGTACCCTCTTCTACCTGCCCCTACTCCCTTCCTCTGGGAATTACCATACTGATGTCTATGTCTACGAGGGTTGTTTTTGTGTGGATTTTTTTTCTTAATCCCTTCACCTATTTCACACATCCAGATACTAGTAGAATAAATATTGAAAAAGAAGATCTCATTAATCTAGAAACTTAAGTAATATATACAAAGTGTACGACATATGAAGAAAAATATATTTTTTAAATGAAGAAATTTTTAAGAACCCTATCTGTAAGACACAAAAGATGACAAACAAATGAAAAGATACAGTTCTTGTATAGAAAGATTCCAACAAAAATACCAACAGGTTTTTTGTTATGCATCTAGATAAGCAAAAATTCATATGGAAAAACAAAGCAAGAATAGCTGGGAAAACTCTGAAAAAGAACAATGAGGAGGAACTAGCCTTATCAAATAGTAAGAGATATTATAAAAGCTCAATAATTAAAATAGCACAGTGCTGGCACATGAATCTACATATCAGTGGAACAGAATAGAAAGAAAGCCCAGAAAATAGACAAAGAGAAATGGGAATTTAGCATATGGTAAAGTAGGCATCTCCAAACAGTGGATTAACCTGAACTGTTCAAAATGGTAGCGAGATAACTAGAAAAAATGAAGTTGAATTCATATTGTATCCCCAGATAACATATAAACAGCTCAAAGTCTTACATTAAAAAAAAAAAAGACTATTAAAGTATCAAAAAAGAACATAGCCTTGGAATGGGAAGATCTTTCTGACTCAAAACCCATAAGCGTACAAAAGGGTGGGGATGCATTTTCATACTGGAATGCTCAGTTTTTTGGCATTGTCTAGTAAGTATAGTAATTGGGAAACTGAAAATTTCTAAAAAATGAGAAACAGGTTTTATATCAGCTGTGCTACTAAGAGACCTTTTAAACTTGTTCTCAGTTTCAAAACCAATTTGTCAGTTACCAGATGTTTTCAAATAGACTGGTAAAGCTTTATAGACCTAAGTAAGATTACCATGATCTTAGAAATGAAACATTTGTTGGTATATGTTTTTATTATTTGTAAAAAATATCCTATTGATTTTTTTTCTTATTGATATTTTTAAAGATTCCTTGAGATTATCCATAATATCATGACTTCCATTGAGCTTATTTGTATAAACAGTAATCTTAAACTAACCCCACATCTTTCCAGAGTGCAGATAAGGTCTCCAGAGGAAATGTGAAAAAGAGGGTGTGTCTTTAAGATTTATTTCTGGTCACACAGGCAGGATTGTTTAATCTCTACAAATTGGTAGGTTAGAAATTGAAAATAACATGCATATTAACATGGAGAGATGTTTGCATGTATGTTTTCTTTTGAAGTGCAAGTATGACTTTTGCTGGATTTGCCTAGAAGAATGGAAAAAGCATAGTTCTTCCACAGGCGGTTATTATAGATGTACTCGCTATGAAGTCATTCAACATGTGGAGGAGCAATCCAAGGAAATGACTGTGGAGGTAAAGACAACTGTTTAAGCCAACACTTCTGGCTAAGCCACTTAATACCATTGCAAGTACTTTGCATTTCTCCTTTTCCCATCTTCATCGTAATGAGGTATTAAATTGAATACACTTTACAGTACCCTTTTATTTAAAGAAATGGCTCTGTAAACTTAAGAGCTTTTTTTCCCCTTTTTTTATACTGAAGATAAGAAAAGTCATACGTGTCTCAGCCTCTCTCTGTAATGACTTAAAAACAATTTTTGTATTAAAGTATAGTTGACATACAATATTATATTAGTTTTAGGTATACAACATAGTGATTTGATAGTTACTAATATATGCCATATGATATGATCACCACAGTAAGTCTAGTTACCATCTGTCACCATACAGAGTTATTATATTATTGACTATATTTTCTGTATTGTACATTACATCCCTGTGACAAAAACAATTTTAATATAATATCAACAATAGAGTATTATGTTATAGCATATAATAAATATCTTAGTCTGCTTGGCTGCCAAAATAAAATATAGACTGGGTGGCTTAAACACAGAAATGTATTTCTCATAGTTCTGGAAACTAGAAAGTACAAGATCAAGATTCCTGCCAATTCAGTTTCTGGTGGTGACTCTTCCTGGCTTGCAGGCAACTCTGTTTTTGCTTTGTCCTCACATGGTGGAGAGAGAGAGTTCTGGTGTCTCTTCCTCTTATAAGGGCACTAGCTCTATGGGATTATAACCTAATAACTTTTATCACCTCACAGGCCCTTTCTCCAAATAGTCACACTGGGGGTTAGGGCTTCAACATGAATTTTGGGTGAAGTAGAATCGTGAAGTGATTTTTTAAAAAGCAATTTTAAGAGCTAGTACTTTTACTTATAAAAGTCACTTATGGAGTTTTGTTTCCTAGGCTGAGAAAAAACACAAACGGTTTCAGGAACTTGACAGATTTATGCATTATTACACGAGATTTAAAAACCATGAGCATAGCTATCAGGTATGTCCCAAATCATTTCAAATGCAGACTTACACTGTTGTGGATAAATAAAGACAATGATATAAATTATTCATTTCTGTTTCTTTAGTTAGAACAACGCCTTCTTAAAACAGCTAAAGAAAAGATGGAGCAATTGAGTAGAGCTCTCAAAGAAAGTAAGTTATAAGTGGCATGTGGGATGATAAATGTAAAATAGCCTTCGATGCTTATTAGTCAGCCGCTTCATTGGAAGTTAAGGCCCTTAAGGGAATATATTTATCTCCATTAGCTCACTCTGGTACTATTTGGAGTATTCTGAAACCCAGAGTGCTGCTTAGCATTTGAGTCCTCTGTGATTAGGTTTTCCACCTGGCTTACCTCATCTCCTCATAATGCAGCTTACGCTGTTAGCAGATGAACACACATCATGGTTTTGCTTACTCTGTGCCATTGCTGATGCTCTAAAATGTTGAGAAAAGTGGATGGGCCCTAAAAGTCATCGCTGACCTAGTCAAAAGAGCAAGATCTGCATGCCATCCAATTATCTGTGACTGAATTCCCAACGAGTCTTGAGAAAATTTAGCCGAATGCCTAGTGGAGTGGAAATCAAGGACAGACTGGGGAGAAATTATCTCGCTGGTGGATAATAGACACTGGATTCAAAAAGCAAAGACATGAGATAGGGCAAACTTGCAGATCCTGACATGAAGTTTGGAAAGAACATTTCTAAAAATGGAATTAGAATGTAATATCTCACATTAGAATATAACACCCTTTTTATGAGAATAATTCCCTAATTAAGACAGTAACCATATGTGTCACTAGCAGCTCAGTCTCCTTATTATTAGTACTTAGACTTTTACAGTGACCTAACTATATCACATCAATATCAAACTCTTGAAGTATAGTCCATGGTACAAATTGAAAAGCAAAACCCTCACAGGTTCTACAGTTCTTCAGCAGGGAATTTTGTCTGTCTCATCACTGATATATTCCTATTGCTTAGAACAGTGCTTAACATACACTAAACACTCAATACCTGTGGATGTGTATTAGTCTTTCTGTTCAATCTTTTGCAGGCTAAAGTAAGATATGAAAGAGAATAGCAGAATAAGATATGAAAGAGAAGGATTAGAAAGGAGAAACAAAACTTCACACACTTCTCACTTATAATGAGCGGGGGTGTTTGTTTTATTTTTATTTTTTTACATCTTAGTTCAGATCCCTATGCTAGGGCAGGTATTTTGGGATGGTCTGTATTTCAGTTTGTGTACATACCCATGTGATTTCTTTCTGCAGATGAACAGAATGATCTTATATCCAAAAGTACTTATGAAATAAATTCTGCTTAATTTCTATTTATTTGTAGTTCAGGAAAAAGCTAGCGTGGTATAATAATTTGGGATGGAACAGTCTCCCAGAATATTATACCACGCTAGATTTTCTTTTTCCCTCTTCCCACTCTCTCTCCCTTTATCTCTCTCCCTGGAGTTTTCTGTTTACTAGCAATTAAGTTATTCAGTTGTTCTCGTGTTGCGTCTTTTTCTCCTTTTATAATAGGCATGACTATAACTTGGCTTTTATTTTTTCTTAGCAAAACATTTATTCTAACTCTTATTCAGCAAAGTTCCACCAGGGATAACCTAAAAAACTTAGTAAAGCATCGCACCTCTGAGTTGACCTAAAGCTAGATTGGCTGCCAACAGGGTGAGAACAGAATCCAGGATCAGTTTGTATGTGTTCTTTCATGACTGCCACGTGCTCCTGGGCTTGTGCAGGTGTTCCATTTATAAATGCATACAAGTCACACACGAGAGTCCTATGTAGGCTTTTAGTCTGCTTCCAATAAATACTATTCAGCTACTTCAAGCTGTTTCTTCTTAGGGGTTCTTTTTTTTCTTTGGAAGATTTAGTTGTGTAATTAATTTTATAATAGCATATTTACAGAAGACTTTTTTACCCTATCTGGTTTACTTCATAGCTGAAGGAGGCTGTCCAGATACCACTTTCATTGAAGATGCAGTTCATGTGCTCTTAAAAACTCGGCGTATCCTCAAGTGTTCTTATCCCTATGGATTCTTCTTAGAACCTAAAAGCACAAAGAAAGAAATTTTTGAACTCATGCAAGTAAGATATCTTTTTTAAATTAAATTTAAATGTAGTTATTATGAAAAGAAAATTTTTGACCACTTAACTAAGTTTTTTTGGTGTAACTAGTCATCAATTTTGTTTTCATTTTAGGGTGGTTTTTAAATAGTAATAAATTGAAATTTTTTTTGTTTAAATCATCATTCGGCAGTTCTTAGCTATGCAAACATTTCTTAGTACGTTTATTTCTTTGTTTTAAATTAGTTAGAGGTGAAATCTGGCCTAATCTTTATTACATAATTAGGAATTTCATTTTCAAAAATGGTGGGCGGGGGGAGCATATTACATATTAAATGGGAAAGTTATTTACCAATTTATTTTAGTAGTGCAACTAAAAAAGTCACAGGACTTTAAAAAACAAAACACCTAAGTAGCTGATATCTCAGTGACTGACCAGCTTCATTGTACATTCCTCTTCCAGACCTAAACCCACATCACAGGGCTCTTGCCTTCAGCATTTACGGATAGTCTGCACCACATATCATGCATCTGCATATATAGTGACTTGACTTGAAATTTATTAGTTTTTTTCACATAGACATATTATAAATTCCTTGTACACACCTGGTATACTCACTCCTTCATGATCTATACCAACTACCTTGCTTAAACGCCTATCACATTGAGTGCTGTTTCCTATAATGTGCAAAATGGAAACATATGTTAAATGCAGTTACTTCAAAGATTGGATTAATTTCTGACTTCAAAAGACTTAGAGTTAACTGAGAAACCAGATAGACTTTGGATTTGCTATTGACTAATCCACTCAGTCTATAATTTTTTTTTTCTCTTCTTACCATAGACAGACCTAGAAATGGTCACTGAAGACCTTGCCCAAAAAGTCAATAGGCCTTACCTTCGCACACCCCGCCACAAGATCATCAAGGCGGCATGCCTTGTACAGCAGAAGAGGCAGGAATTCCTGGCTTCCGTGGCTCGGGGAGTTGCCCCTGCAGACTCACCTGAAGCTCCCAGGCGCAGGTAAAAGGGATGCACACTGTGGAATCACCCTAGCTCCAGCCACAAACCAGCAGGTTGATTTTTTTTAATCCTACTAGAGTTTATATACCTAAAATATGGAGAGCTGGTTAAAATATGGTAGCTTCTTTTTGGTGATTTTCCCCCAAGTACTATTTCTATTTTCCTCATTTTTCGTTTGTCATTGTGTAGTTTCTCACCAAGTTAGACTTGGTGAATTTCACACTTCAGTGAACTCATAATTCAGAGTATTCTAATGTGTCATTTCAGATATGTAATGTGTATAGTGATATGATAGCCATAAACATGTTGTAGAATTTGGAAGCCTTGCCAATTTGTCATGGACCTATTTGTATTTTGTGGTGAGGTTGTGAAAAAATTAGAAATCTGATATTAGTAAAGTTACTTAAGTGATATTTATCCTTTAACGAATAGTTGAATTTTGGTTGTTTTACATACTTATACTACTAATGCCATTATAAGTTGAAGTATTTTTTATTCATAATAATTGCAAGCATTAGAAATTCCTTTGACCCTGTTTTTACATAAACATTTATAACCTAAAAACAGAAAGCAGTCATAAAATACTTCGTTATTTTTCCACCATTTTACACAAACATAAAGTAACTTAGACTTTAAAAGAAATAATATAGTTGTAATAATTTTAATTATATTTAAAATTATTTATATTTAATTATATTCTATAGTTGATCTGCTTTGGTTAAATAAGTTCCAAGCAGAGGAATTAAAATTAATGTTCAAAAGGCAAGGGTCTGATTGTTTGTACTTTGCAGTACTGGTAATAAATCAAATGGTATGTCTAATTTCTTTATAGCTTTGCTGGTGGAACATGGGATTGGGAATATTTAGGATTTGCATCACCTGAGGTAATTGTTTTGTGGGGGTTTGGCTTGTTTTGTTATATTTTTCCTTAGTATAATCCTGCTTGTATTTGCATCCTTTTCTATTCTAAATCCTGAAATTGTCAGCAGTGTTTTTCTTGTATAATAAAAATGCCTCAGCAGAGCCTGCATCTTTGTTATTTATGGTATTGGGTTATGATCACATTAATGCATCTCCCCTTTATCATTTTTAATTACTGAATAGTCAGAATTAAGGCCAATTTATAGCATGTATTTTTGGAAAATATTAATAGAAATACAAATTTCACTTATTAGAAATGCATTTCTAGTTGTAATATTATTTCAGTCTGAATCTAGTTTTTTAAGTTATTGAGATAACTCAAGAGAATTGGTTTATAATCAGTTGCTAAGGTGGAAACTTAACATTAGTGATGTTTATGCAGTAAGAAATGCTTTGCTTATTAATTGCTTTCTGCTTCTCTTAAGATTTTCACACTCTTCTTGTTTTTTCTTTGTTGTCATACACCATTTTAAAACATAGAAGGTCTAAAATACTAGCACTACAAATAGTAATTGCCGCAAATAAAAAATAAGGCAGAGTGAAAATCTTAATCATATTGCAATTTTCTGAGATTTAAATTGCCACCGTCAGTGTTGAGTCTGAATTTTTATATGGTTTGAACAGTTCTCTACACTTTGTCTTCTTCCTTGCTCTTTTATACCATCCAGTGCTTGGAAGGGGGCAGGACAAGCAATGAATCTTTTATCCTTTGTATCCCATTTGTTATCTGCAACTGAAAGACAGTGAAATTGGTTATTATTCAGAAATGACTGTGGCTTATTTAAATCAGATACTTTCTCTTTTCAGCTGCTGAGGATACGTGCAATCACCTTGAGGCTTTTGTATTGGTAGATATATCCAAGAAAATATTGACTTGAGAAAACAGTTTATGCTTAGAGCTCTGATATGAGGGTTTTAGGTCTACTTAAATTCCCGCCCTCCGTGGTAATATCTTAATTAAATGGCTGTCGTAAAACAGATTATGAACCTTTTCTCTACCTGATCTGTGCTTATTATTTCTTTGTTTTAATTACAGCTTTAGGGATATTGGGGGAAATGTCCACGTAAAAGGAGAAATAAACAAGCTTCAGTTATTAAAAAAAAGAGCACTGAAGCTTTTAGAATTTCAAGATAGAAACACAATTTAGCAAAAATAAAACTTTACCAGTGTAGTCACCATCGTGCATGCATCATCTTGCAGCCTCTGGCTCATAGTAACGTTAGGAATCTTGAAATACTCGTCCTTGACTAATTTGGACCTGCTAATATGACTGACACAGATTCACTTTGCAAAAAACAGGAAGGCTTGCCACCTCGCATGTGAATATTTATAAGTTAAATTATTGAGCTTTTGTTCTCCAGAGATTGAGAATTGTGAAAGTATCAATAACAATTCCTTCTTAAAGTCATTTTTTATCAGTCAATAAAATTTTAAAAAATTATTTAACTCACTTTTACTGTTCTCTTATTTAAAGTTTTTGGCACATTGAAAGACCAAGCTTTTATGTAAACCTTATTGCAAGTCTAAAGAATTACCACACGATGTGAAACTTTAAAACTTTGCATGTATGTTAACTGTCAGGTAACTGCCAAAATTTTATCTTTAAAAGTAAGCTTTTTGCCTTTATATAGACTCTGAAAAAATATTGCCAAACTCCAGTAGACTTTTAGGTTGAATTTATATTTTTTCAGTAAAGTTAATTCCATCTTATTCTTTTTTTAATTAAACTGAATGAGTCAATGGCAAGAATAAGTATGTGTTTTGTGCTGCCTTAAAGGCAGTGGAGCTCAGGAAAGGCCAAGTCCTGAAGTTTGGGGGCCCCTAAATGCAAGGTCTAGCTCTGTAACTTGTTAGACCTTGGGCTGTGTTCTTCCTTAATTTGTTATCTTCGGAAATTTGTTATCTTCTAAATGTGGATGGTGATACCATGGGAGTTCTGGCAAAATTAGAGCATCTCTTTAAGTCACTGACAAAATTGGTGCTCAATAAATGCTAGAGATTATTATTTAAAACAGAAAAATCCCCTAGCAGCTTTTTTCCCTATAAATCTTAGAATCTCTTAATCTTTGTAGCATTAACCACTCTCAAACCATTTGGAGCATCCCAACTAAAGCCTTTTCATATGCTTACTTGAAGACCTTAGGGATCCCTGGAAATTTTCAGATACGTTTAATTTTATGACAACAATTTTTTAAAGCCGATTGCATCCTGAGTTTTCCACCAGAAAAATTATATAATGGGAGAAACCAAGAGGGCGGCATAGGTAAACGCCTAAAATTGCTGCCTCGAACAACCACTTCAAAAATACAACTAAAAGACAAAATGGATGTCATCCAGAACCACAGGAAGGGTGGTTGAGTGGAAATTCTACAACTAGAAGAAAAGAGAAAAGCACACTGAGACTCAGAGGAGGTGCGGAAGTAAAGTGCAGAGGTGCGGAGGCACGCGGAAAGGGCTGGCAACTGAAGATGCGGTTGTCTTTCTCAATCAGGAGGGAGTCACAATCTCCCGACTGCTCTGAGCTCCAGTTCCTGGCGAGTCTATGGGGACCCAGACTCATACGGAGAGAAACTGGACTGTCTGGCATCGGACAGAAATTCAGGGCAGCTTTCTCTCAGAGATGCTTGTAGCAATTACCATGGGACACTGAGATCCGGGGCCACTTAGGGCAGGACTGAGGATCAGCTATAACTGTTTGCTCCGCTCTGTTGATCCCCTGAGACTCTGAACCACCCAAGCTGTGCGTAGAGGCTTTTGCATTTGAATGACCTGGCCCTTTGCAATCTGAAAATTACCTAACAAACTGCAGCTGGGTCAGAGAGACCCAGAACTTCCAAAAGAAGGCCCAAGGCCCCACAGCAGCTTGCATTGCTTCACAGTGGGCCTCATCTGGGCACCTCCAAACCCCAAACAAAGAAGAGGGATCTACAGATCCCTCCGTAGCTCCAGCTGGGTAGCCTCAGGCAGAGGCTAAATTAGCACCTCCTTAGAGATCCAAGAGCCAGTGTACCCAGTGGTCAGAGTGGGACCATCCAGATTACAACTCCTCAGATCCATAAGGGACACACTCAGGGGGCAGACTCAGTGAGCACCGAAGTCCCACTGAAGCAAGTGTCT